TTGAAGGTTATGCTGCTTATGATCATATATATATGTATATATATGATATATATATATACATAAGATCTCTAGTCTTGAGTCTGATTGTCCGCCTTATTAAGTTCTTTTGGTTGAATCTGTATATTCATTCTTCACTAATAGTTGTCGTTATTTCACTCCTTCCCCTGGATACACAGTTTAGCTGCTCTTGCTATTTGAAAGCATTTTTGAGGGCTTAAGTTCTCTTCTGTTCCATACCCAACACTGTCTTTAAGCAGGGAATCTTCGTATCTTCAAAATTATTTGTGTCCTTAGCTCTCTAATGTTAATGGTTATTCTTACTTTAGTTTTTAGATTTTGATGACAGTATTCCTTATTACTCCAAGAAACACAACTACAAAAAAGCCCGGATTGTCTGTACAGTTTTAGTTTATCTTGGGCCATACTTTGCCCACTGGGCCTCTGTCACTAATTCCAGTCTTCCCAACATTATTTCTAGAAATGCTGACTCACCCTTTGTTAATATTTTTTTTTCCCTTCAACAAGGCCATATAGAAAAACTCTAATTTTTTCAGTTTCTATCAGCTCTATCCACACTCTCAGTTGCCATATTTGTGCAAGGTCTGTTGTTTGCCAAGAATTCGGGTTTTTGTGGTGCTCTGATACTCCCTTACTGTTCTTTTTTTTGGGGCCTATCTGTTAATCAGCCTTTATCTCTTCCTCAAATTTTCATTAGATAGACTGTTGTCACCATGTTTCATTTTGGCAATGATAGTAGGCAGAAAGTGTCTTCTGAAGCTGAATTGTGAGAACTCTTCACACAAGTGTTGCAGATCCAGTTGGCATCCAAGTCACGTGCAGATTTGCTTCCTCCTCCAAATGCTTTTCTGCTTCAGCCTTTGTCTTTCATCTATACAGCTTGCTAATATCTAGATCATTTTAGTAAAGAATACTCTATGCTCAACTTTCAGATGCTTTATTGCAGAAAAGTGCAGTAGGTACAGCCATTGATCCTTGTTTTTTCATAATGCTAGCTCTAGTACATCAATTGATAAGTGCTTTCAAATCTAGACTCAAGCTTTATAATGACCATTGGAAGAGCCTGAGACATGGTACAGAGTGAAAATGCTTCTGGGAGTTAGGTCTGGGAAGAAAATGGGAAGAAGCATATTGTAGCAAAATGATTTTCTGCTTTGTCTTCTGATTTCTTTTAACCTACAGTGAAAATCCAGTCTGTAGGTGCCTAATACATTGACCATACTGGCCAGTTTCTCATATAAGAGGGAGGGATAAGATAGAAGAGAAATAATACATTTTTGGAAGCATACGCTACCAAAAGCATATGCATCTACGTTTTTTGAGGAGTCAAAGAGGACCTAGAATGCCCATCCAACTGTGGAAAGAATGGATGTTTCACATCATGAAAAGGTGGAGGTCTTCAGTGTGTTTCCATTTGCAAAGATGCATCACTTTGGTCTTGTCTGGATTCAGTTTGATCCATCTGTTCTTCATTTGAGAGCTAATTTCCTGTAGTTATTCTGATGTTTTATAGTGATGATAGTTGCATCAGAAAATGAGATAAATAGTAGATTGTCAGCAACATACTGTTAGCAATTGAACACATGCCATATCACTCTCTCTCTCAGCAGTCTCATGTAGATAAATGTAGATTATAAGAATCCCTGTGGGATGCTGAAGGTGAGGACTTTGGAGGAAGAGGCTCGCATCCACCACCTTTTTTTGAATTACATGTAGAACATGAGATGCTAGGACTGTGTTGTAGAGGATTCAGGTGTCTGAGAAGAGGAATCCAGAGATTGCAGTTTCATGGTTGACGGAAGTTTTATAAATTTCTCCAGGAAGTTGTCAGAATTTCCACCTGTACTTTGTGTATCACTGTCAGACCTTGTTCCTCTAGGCCTTTGGCCTCACAGTGCATATGGGTATACTCAAATGTTTTCATTCTTGGTGGAACATCTTCTGCATCCGACATTGAGGCCACAGGACCCTTCCTCCATATTTTCTTTGCTTTTTCTTTTTGAAAAAAAAAAAAAAAAAAAAACAACCCCAAAACTTCTGGCATTTATCTTGGCCTGTTACTAGTGGTGTTCTGGTATCTGTCTTGGCTCTTCTGAGGGGTAGCTAGGACAGGACTGAGATGGTACTGAATCATGCCTGTGATGCAAAAATTGTCCAAGTGTTTCATCTGCAAGGACAGTGCAGATGTATTCTTTTTCTAGGGAGAAACTTTGCATTCTGCAGCAAGAACTTCAGATAGTTTTCTTCTTATCTTTTGTTTAATGATGTAACCATCTAAGCAATTGGTTGCAGATACAGCTGCTTGTGGTGTTTACTCCAATGTGTGGTAGTCTGTGAGGGTGACTCCTCACCGTAGTGATATCAAGGACTTAGAAGAGTAACACATAATGGCACGGGAGGCTTTGGGCAGCCTGATTTGCCTGTGTTTTTTCAGATTATCGTGGCCTAGAAGCATTGTACAGTGTAGCCTCCATGATTTGAACACTTTGTCTTTACTCAGCTTGTAACAGCAGGCAAGTAGTGTTGGAGTGACAGTCTGGGGTCTGAACACTAAAGTGGTATTTCTTCCAATTTTTAAAAACTCTTCCACTGACAAGAGAAAGCAGCAGACTGTTACAGGATGGCATACACCAGAGATGGGCAGACAATGGCAGGAGTGCAGAGCTATGGGTTCTCCAGCAAAAAAGGAGGCAAAAGAGTTTGTAGGTTCAAAACCAAAACAGAACCTCCTCATATCCCATAGGCTGTGAATGTCTTATTTACTTAGTTTTGATGCATTTTCATTTCTGGATGTAACACTTTCTGACACTGAGACCAGAGGACCCTTCCTTTACTTATAATCAAATTGGCAGGGGAAATGTGTATATCAGGATGAGACTGATAGTTTTTTCAGGACTATTGATAATATCCCATGCTGCTGTAGTAGTTAAGTATGAAGATTAATTGACATCCTTTGTTTCTGATGTTTTATATATTCTTCTTTTATAAAGAAGAAACTTCTTTACAGTGAGGGTAACAGAGCACTGGAACAGGCTGCCCAGGGAGGTTGTGGAATCTCCTTCTCTGGAGACATTCAAAACCCACCTGGACGCTTTTCTATGTGATCTCATTTAGGTTCCTGCTCCAGCAGGGGGATTGGACTAGATGATCTTTTGAGGTCCCTTCCAATCCCTGACATTCTGTGATTCTGTGATATAACATAAAGATAATTTGGTAAGACTCAGTTATGGAGATGCATGTCATAGAATCATGCTTCTCTTGATGTAGCCCAGGATACGGTTGGCCTTCTTGGATGCAAGCACACATTGCCGGCTCATGTTGAGCTTCTCATCCACTAGTACACCCAAGTCCTTCTGCTCAGGGCTGCTCTCAAGCCATTCTCCACCAAGCCTGTATTTGTGCTTGGGATAGCCCCAAGCCAGGTACAGGACCTTGCCATTGTTGAACTTCATGTGGGTTACACAGGCCCACCTCTGGATGGCATCCCATCCCTCCAGCATGTCGACTGAACCACACAGCTTGGTGTTCTCAGCAGACATGACAGTGTTAGGTTTATGGTTGGACTTGATGATCTTAGAGGTCTTTTCCAACCAAAATGATTCTATGATCCTAGATTTCATTTATTTCAGTGATTTATCAAGTTTATCCTTCCGCCCCTGACTTTTGACTGAAAGCATTTCAGTGTACTAAGCTGTGATATGCACAGGTTGTGGTCCAGTTTCTTTCTAAAAATGTTAGACTGTCACAGCTTACATCAATATATGTGTGATTATAGAGCAAAATATTGTTGCTAAAGCTGGGTGAACAATTTATTATTAATGTCATTCATTAAGGATGAGTCTTTAGGTTTAGATTGAGTGTTGGGTAATGTGTGAAAGGCTATTTTGCTTCCTTGACTGCATAAGAGGACCATTATTCTTCCCTTGCTCTTCTACTTCCCTGCTCACCAACACAAAGGAAGAGAAAAACCATGAATCCTTCCTCTTTTTTTCTCCAGGTAGGTAGGTCAGGGAAAAACTCTTGCTTTGTTGTCTTTTAATAAATCATTGTCAGAATAGGTTCCGTATGACTACATGAAAGCTGGAGAGCTCATTTCTTACTCCCCTGGGTATGAACAGACATACAGATGTGTGCAGAGGGGTGCAGTCCAATGCATATGCCCTTGTTATGCTTAGTAAGACATTGTGAATAATGCCAGTTTTCCTTAGGTTTATGTATTCAATAGAAAGTTTGAAGAAACTAGTACCGAACTTCACAAGCTGCCATTATATCTAGCTCTCCATAGAAAATCTCTAGTATTTTGTGAGTTGGGGAGAGGCCATTTAAATCACAAGCTTTTTACTTATTTAGCTGTTTTCTTTGACTGGTAAACTCTTTCAGTATAAGAAGCTTCAAACAGAGGAATAAACACTCACAGGACTCCTAGAAGAAGAAAAATTCAAAAAATTTGCATCAATTGCCTAAAACATTGTGAACAGTGAAAAATATAACCTTAAAGATGAAGTGTTTTCCATTAAACATTAATTTGTTCAATTTATGTAGTCATCTATGTAGGTTGTTATGTGCACCCCGAGACATGCATGAACACACACACATATACACACGTGGTAAGTTTGTAATTGTACAGTTAAAAGAGTTTTGAGGAAAATGTACCCTATTTACTGTTTAGCAATGTGACCAATGCAGAATTGTAATACAAATCCCAGAAATTCCCATCCTGTTGTTTTTTATTACTGAAGAAAGTAGATCAGGATGATAACAGTTGGATGCAAAAAGCAATCATCTTTTCAGTGTAAAAATAGTGCTGTGTTTTAGTAAGCGATACTACTTAAATGCATTAGGGGGTTTTCTGGCTTGCCCTGGATGGTTTTATTCATTTTCCTTAAAAATATCTTTCATTTCCAACCCCCCACAATGAAGGAAGGACTGTTTCCCATTAAGATATGAAGTAAGTTTGTTTTTCACTTTTGCCTTTTATATAGGGATACTGAATATAAAGGACTACAGCTCTCCCTGGATCAGGTCACTGCTACCAAGCCAGCATTCTCATACACAAATTCAACTCCGACCATAACGGACAACAGAAAAGGAAGCAAATCTCGCCTCTCGAGCACAAAGTCAAAATCAAGGACATCACCATACCCACAGGTAGTTTTCTTTGAAAATGAAAACTTTTTTAATATCTTGATTTTGACTGCTATTTTACCCAAGTAATTAGAATGGGTCAAAGAACATGTTACTCAAAAGGAATAAAGGGCAACAGGTTATAAGATCTTGAGACAGGAATATGTTTCTTTAAACTATTTCTAAAAAGCTGGAAACATTTGTGTTTTAGCATGCATAATACATCATCATCATCATCAACAACAACATAAGGCTCAGAGTTAACGAGGAGTGGATAGAAGGACAAGTGAAAATGTTGCTTTTGAAATATGCGATTTCAGAGGATTGTGAGTTTTGCCATTTGAGAAAGCCTGCTTTTTCTTACTTGCTCTTTAATAATTCCAACATACCTAGAAAGCTGCCAGATGTCTGACAGCAGTTTAATACTGAGAGTATAGTCAGGAGGAGTGAGTTTTGAGGAGGGAAAGCAACAAGCTAATTTGCTGAACTTGAACAAGACTGCTTTTCTACATATAAATCTTCGAAAGGGAGAAAGCGCTAGGAGGTGGCCATTGGCATCGGTAGACTTTAATTTCCAAGATTTCATTTTCAAGCTTAATGTGTAAGGAACATGTCCCTGCTTGAAGAACGGACCAGACTTGATTTGGTCTCTGAACTGGAGCTTTCCTAATACATTTATGCAACTGATTTCTGCAGACAGTGCCATAGCCCTTCTATGCTTATGTTGTCGACCCTTTAGCTCAAATAAAGCTGTTTGTCAAAATAACTATTATGTTTACTAAATAATGATGCAAGTCTTGCTGCCCTTGTACCACCACACAGTGGATATAAATGTATGCATTCATGATGTAACATTGAAGAGCTATGTATTTTTAGAGTCCAATTCAATATTTAGCTGGTAATAACCTCAATGACTACAGTTTCTCTGCAGTTATAAACTGACCTTTAGGAGTGTAAAATGTGAGCCCAAGCATCTACATCACTTCCATGTTTTCTTTCTTTTTCCCCTCAAAAGTACCAAGGGTAAGAAATTCAGTTAAATTACATCTGCTTTTGGTACAGGAAGTATTTAACCGGGCGCCTAGATATGAACTCAGATTCTTAATTTTAAGAATCTCATTTTTTCCAGAGATTGTTATGGCTCTTGTTGCTTAATCATTTGTTCACACACATTTCTGTGGGTTGTTAAAGAAGAATCTTTCTCTTGAATGCACTACAGCAAATGATTGTAATAAAACTGCTTTAAAGAATCAGGAAAGATACCTACAATTAATTCTAAATTGGATTTTTGAGATTACTATCTTTGATTTACTGAAATTACCCTTTATCTCCCCTTACACAGTCCTTCCAGAAGTCCTCATTTGCTAGCAGGACAATCCCAACTGGAAACCTGTTATCCTACCACATCAATTTGCTTTCTGAAAGTGTGACTTCCATCAGTACCTCTTTATTCTCTCTGCCACCAGAAAAAAATCCTGAACTAGCAGTGTAGCGTTGAGACTGTTGGTTTATCAGGGATTGTGGTCTGAAAGCTCAGAATGTTTAGTCTCCAGTTTCATTTTGCATCCTCATTACCAGCTGCCTGGTAGTAAACTCACAGATTTCATCATTCAAAAAGAAGTAGCCATGCTAGTTGCCAATATCTTGAAAAATGGTCATACCGTTCATTGTATCACATCACCACAAGCAATGCTGGCAGCTTGGCTTTGCATCCCTCTCATCCTTCTCCACCACTGAATAAACTGTTGAAAGACTAAGAAAAGCTGTTGTGAAGAACATGCAGCAGGTGGTATGGCCTGCATCCCTCAGTCTCCAGCCCATGTAATTTACCAGTCAATTGCAGAGAATTAGTGTGACTCAAAAGCCATGTCTGAAAAGTGGGGCATGGGTTTTGGCTTATACAGGAGCCTGGGTTTTGGTGGAGGAAGGAAGCAGGAAGTTTATTAGTAAAATAATGGCAGTGGGCCAAGCATTTCTTAAAGTTAAGGGCACCTAGGAGATTTTAAATGCACATTCTTTCCTTTTTTTTTTTTTCTTTTCCCCTAACCATTTGCTTTTCTTCATTCTTGAAGAGAAAAGGGAACCATATTTTACTACATGATGACTGAGAATCCTCTCCCTTGCCACCTCTGTGCCCCTAGGATAACTATATGAAATGTGAACTGTAAGAAAACTGTGATAATAAATTTCAGCTGAATATTTAATATTAGGGTGAAAGGTGGATGTTTTGGTCACTGAAAACAGTGTTAATATTTTTCTCCTCAAACCTTATGCAAAAGCACACATAGTGTAATATGTCATTTGTAGACTCTTTAAGACACTGAGTTCATTAAATTGGAGGCATTGCTCAGCATCTTATTAACACTGAGTGACATTAGTATAATGGACTAGTGGGTTCTACGAAAACAGTCCTAGGCAGGGGAAGAACAAGCAGAGAAGAGAGCAACTCAAAATTCAAGATTCCAGGACTTGCTCAAACATGTTGAACAGTGCTTTTCTAGTCCTGGTCTACCATTGAGGTGGAAAGCTGAAAGAGGAGACAAAAAAACAGGAGAGATTAAGACTTGATAGAGATTTACAGAAAAAGGAAATTTTGAGTTGATTTAAAAGATGCCTGGAGTCTTTCTCTATAATAATAATAATCATTGTGAGAGAGTCCCAAAATCTAGCCCTGGACCTAATTTATTTTGTGTTCCCAAAAGCTAGCCCTGGACCTCATTTATTCTGTACAGAGTACATAGCGACAAGGTTGGAAAAACATTTTAATTGTGATCATTTAAACAACTGCTTTGGGGTTTAATTTCCCATTAATGATGATTGTTTAAAGAAAATATTTAAAATTGTCTGTTGTCTGCCTCTAATGGAAAGATTATGGTCAGATCTGGGTAAGAATTTGTTGCATCATATCTCATCTTAGTTCTTGGATAAAGTTTATTTATATATATATAAATAAATATAAATAAATATATATGTATACGCATAAAATGAATGCATACGTACAAGTAAGGATGTGCCCAAGAGGATGTGTGTTGGATGGAGGCTTTGATGTGTGTTATAGCATGCACGAGTTTTTGGAAGAGCCTTCTCTAGTAGGTGTATATTGGTACACCTGATTTTAGAGTTAAACTGATTTTATAGCTCCTTTAAATGGATAATCTGGATTAATTCTGCAATGCGCCTCTATTTGGGCATATCACCCAAAGGGGTAAAGCTAACAGCATCAGGCTGAATTCTAGTCAGTCTTTTTTTTTCCTTTTATTTAAAAAAAAAAAAAAAATCTTTCCTGTAGCCTAAACCTTTGGCAACTTCTAGTGTATTCAAAAGCAAAGCAAACCCCTCTTTTGATAATAAACATAACTCCTGATCTAGTGAAGAGTCACCAGCAATGGGGGTTATTTTAATGGACATGCCATATTACTTTAATCTAAGCCTTTCACCATCTGTTCTGCCTATAATAGTGAATGCAAAAAGAACATATTTTACATTTCAGGATTACATTAGTAAAAAGTAAGATAAAAGTGATTTAAAAGCATGCATATGTTCTTAGTACAATGCAGCCCGCATCTGTGATGTTTTTTTTTTCATGGTTAAGACACAAATCAAGAAGAAAGCTGCTAATGCTGATGTAGTGAAAGTTTTTCATGGAAAAAAGAACTCTGAGAGAGTTTCACTATATTTAATGTTTATAATGATAAAAACCTGAGGGTTTTTTTGAAGTGAAAGAGCATCAGTGATGGCCTATAACCTCTTTCTGTGTCAGTGCTAATCCCACTGGTGTGCTCTCACTGGGATGGTACACTGGATTAGCAGTCTGGAAGACATTTCCAGTATCCAGAGGTGGCAATTCAGTTTCATAAACCAGCTGGAGGATCATTTAATTTATTTATTGTTGTTGTTTTTTATGCCAGAAGACAATTCAGAAATAATCTGAAGTGATTTCAGATGTTGCCTGTCTGAAGTTTTTTATCATGTTTAACTTCTGTCTGCTGGCTAAACTTTGTCAAAAAACCAAAAATAATAAATTCTGCCTGATAGGAGTCAGAAGGCAAAAACTGACAGAAAGGAAAATATTTCCGGTGAGGCAGGACTAGGATTAAAAAAATAGATATATTTTCACTAATTTTAATTGGCCATAGTTTTCATTAACTCTGATTCCATTTTCTATGGTCTTTCATCACTTGACATATGGAAGCCTAATTCTGACTTGAGAGATAGTGTTTCCCCTCCCATTTCAGCAAAGCAGTATCTTTGATCATCCTTTCATTTCTGCCCCTGTCAACATGTCACGCATGCCTGTATTTGGAGTCTCCACCTGTCAACATCAGACTCCCAGAAGACGCAGTGGTAGGAGGACTGCAGCAGTAGAGGCAGCCTGACGATGCCAAAGAGAGATGTGATTAGCTTTAAAGGGAGTTAGACATATTTTTGGCCTATGTCAGCTTATGTTGTACCTTAAGAATAAGCAGTCATATCAAACCTTGGTAGACAATGTGGGCCACAAGCAATTCATTGTGTTAGTTTAATTCTGTCCCTGGCCCAGCAGCTGCTACAGGTCAGATCTTAAATAATAATCATTTACATCAAGTACAAAGAATATGCATGAAGTATTGTTGGTCTTGACTACATGGTTATATGACATTACATGGTGCATTTCTGATATACTGAACATGTACCCTTTGAAAAGTTTTCCCTTTCTTTAAGAAGGGTGCACAAAGACCTATGCAATTGAATCCTTTTGGTTAGATAAAAAAAAAAAGCTCAAGTTTTCAGTTCAATGAAGAAATTTCCTTCAGAAGAAGCTAAGTTGAACCCTGATGTGTCCTTAGAAACAGAGAACTAGTAGAAGAATACCTATTAGAGCTAAATGAAATTAAGAATTTTCAGTTTGACAGATTTTTGGTTTGAAAGAATCTATGGCATTTAATATCATCATAAACTGTGCAAAAAAAGAAATTTCATTATAATATTATTAGAAATGGATTTTCCTTGTCCCCCTCATTCAAGAAATACATTGTATCTGTTTTGTATTTAATAAGAATATAAATGAACTTTTAACTTTTTTATACTTACTTTTATGAGTGCTAAAATAATTCTAAAATTAAGAACAGGTACAAAAGTAGTTTTCCTTTTGTGAATTTCCATTTTAACTAAAATTTAATAGTTAATTTTTTTTTAGTAATTTATATTTTTTATCAAAAAACTTAATTTTGTCTATATATTTTTGTCAAAAAGTTTACAATAATTGGGTCAGTATTTATGAAGATATCCTTGTGACTAAGCAGTTTGAAGACATTAGATCTGAAAGGATAATAGAAGTGTTAGATGTTCCAGTTGGTCACATAACACTGTGATGGTTGAATAAAGTTCTTAGTTAATGTATGCCAAGTTACTGGCATTTAAAATAACTCTTTTGTGGCTCTGTAACTATCTTAGCTCCATTCAAAATCAGATTTATCCTTTCATCTCTAAAACTTGCAAGGAATATAGTGGTACTAACTTGTTGGCCTCCTCCATATCTCCTGGTAAGCTTTTTGCCTACGGGTATTCTTCTGACAACTAATAACAAAATATAATTGAGCTCTTCAAAGCCATGACCCTTTCTTTCCTTTACAGTGACCCTTTCTTTCCTTTAAATAACCTATTGTGTTAACAAACAGTATTCACAAATATGAACTGGAATACTGAAGAAATACCCAATTAAATGCCAAAAATGAAGTAGTTCCACTACCGATGTTGCACAGATGGTTTAAGTTTCTGTAAGTCAAACATCTGGTCAGTAGTTTCGATCGCTAAGTGCATAAAACCTTGATCCTGGCTGATAATGAGGAGTTTCATAGCAACTCAGTCTAATGAAAAGGAAGGTAAGCTTATGTTTTCAGGAGAGAGGCCTAATGCCTATTAAAGAAAAGGCAGAATGGGCATCTGGAAGGTGAGTGATGGAATGAGAGAATTCCAAGGTCTCATGTTGTAATATATTGATTTGTGACACGAATGTGCAGTACTGAAGAGGTGAGCATGTACAGCTTTGGTCTCATCCCAATCCATAATCATGGGTGAAATTGATTTAAAGATGTTCCATGGAGTTAGACAGTTCCAATAAATAAAAAGATTTAAAAATGAGACAGCTAAATCCTAGGAGGTTTAATAAGCATTCTTTTTTTTTTTTTTTTTTTTTTTCCCCAGAAAGTATCTAAAAGTTTGAAACATTCATTATAAATATCTAGAAATTTGTGACATTTAACTTAACCCTTACTTCTCTCTAAAAAAGTGTTCATTCTCCTATTCTGTCTACCTTTCCAACTGCCTACTAGTTGCTTCTTCTGTGTGGGGAGGGCTCTGCTTAAGTAAGGGTGCCAAATGCCCACTCTGCCCGCTTTGGCTAGCAGTCACCTTTCTGGCAAATAGTTTCTGGATTTTTCTTGTTCCTGCATTGCAAGGGAGCTGTGATTTTTAGCTTCCTAACAATCTCTCATCACTTTGGAGCTTTACTCTGTAGTAGAGTCAATAGTCCCAGGATCTACAGGAGGCTTTATTTTCCCTACCGATAGGAGGAAAGAAGTTCCAAGATACGACTCCAGGTAAGAAAAAAAAGTCCAACAACAAACAAAATATGAGGAAAAGAGAGGGAACCCTTAGAAAAAGAACTTGAAATACATTCAGTTTCAATTTGACATGTGAGAATGCTCCAGGAGCAGTGTTATTTGAGTCCCTTTTTAAAGCATTTTGCCAAGGAGCATTGTAGCACCATTGCTGCACATAAGCACTCGCTTTCAAAGCAATAAGAAAAACCTGGAGTTATTAAAAAAATATTGAATTGTGACATTGATGTTGCTGAGCCTAATATTACACATCATAAAGGAGATGGCTATTAAGGATCAACATGGAATGTTTTAGACTTTCATGAGGCCTGTCCTGTCATCTGTGAGCTCATTACAGTGTTGTACAGGAAAGGACTTGGAGTCCAATCAGAAGGTGCAGACGTGTGGGCACGCTCACAAAAAACACCCTATCACATGCATACTCTGTCTTTTCAGTACAGTTAGTTGCAGATTTCACCCAGGCATAGTAATTTCCCTGCTTCTTCTCCTGTTTTGCAGTATTCTGGATTTCACACTGAGAGATCTGAGTCTGACCACGAGAGCCAGTGGGGCGGGAGCCCCCTGACTGATACAGCTTCTCCCCAACTGCTGGAGCCTGTGGACAGACCGAGCTCCCAGCACCATGATGTCTCCTGTGCCTACAGACAGTACTCAGACCGCAGTGCTCTCTGCTATGGTTTTACACTCGATCACTCCAGGCTGGCTGATGACAGACATTTCCATACTCAGGCCTGTGAAGGAGGCAGATGTGAAGCTGGCCGGTATTTCCTTGGCACGCCGCAGCCGGGAAGGGAGAGCTGGTGGGGTTCTCGTTCAGCATTACCCCTGACTAAGTCATCCCCTGAAAGCAGAGAAGCGTATGAAAACAGTATGCCCCACATAACTTCAGTGCACAGGATTCATGGTAAGAGATAACAAGGATTTGCAGAAGTGGCACCATCTCAGATAAAGCAACATAACATAAACATGCAGCTGTTTATGGGAGAGACAGAAAATGAGACTCTTGATGCAGGTCCTTGTCTCAGAGATCATGTCTATGGAGATGAGGAATGCTTGCAGTTCAATTGAGTTTGACAGTCTGGCTTATATGCAGCAAAATATAATTTCTTGTGTATTTTTCAGTTGGTGAAATTGAAGTGGGGATATCTGACTGGTGAGATCTTAAAGATGATCTTAAAAATATGAACAAATTTATACACTTGATACAAATGTGTTATTTATTTGACTTAATATTAAATTACTTTGGATAGAATATATTTAGCACAAAATTAGTTAGAACTAAACCCAAGTTAGATATTAAAAATCCTTTAAAGTCTTTGGAGAAATTGTTCTCCAAATGACTTCTTTCTCTGCACTGGTTATTACTAGATTCTGTAAGTTTTGCTGTTTAGTTTTATTTAAAATTAGCAAACCAATTTTAAAATTTTTTACTTTAAACATTTAAACATTTACTTTTAATTTCAGAAATTTATCCCTAGCCATATTTTTTAGTTGATTTGAGTCTATCTATCCTTTCACCACCAAGCCTGAACCCTTGCTTGATGTCAGGCAGGTTGCAACCTCAGTGGATTAGTGAATCTTCAGAGACTGAAGCTGATAAAAAATTCACAGTGAAAGGCTGATCTTGGGTTTGCAAAAATCCAAAGATCCTTCAGTTTAAATGGTAGGCTGAGAGTTGGAAGATTGCAAGTGACTCAAAAATCAGAGTTCAAGGTTGTAAGGACAGATGCAGCATTAAAAAAATGCTTTTCTACTAACATAATCTGTCAAAACATAGGTTTTGTCTGAAGAACTCATATTAGCTAATTACATTAGTACTACTCAGTTGACTTGCAAAATAAGGCTTTGGAAATAAACCCCCCCCTGTACTATTTTGTTCCAATCTAAGGAAAATTATGTTGAGATTAGAACAATGATTAAATATCAAGTTCTAGGAAATGCAGTCAGAGGAAAAATGAGGAAAGAAAAGGACGCCTACATTTTGCTGATGAGTGCTGTTCTCCACTTTTCCTATGAGAACCCACCTCCTTCCTTGTGTCTGTTCTGTACTTCTGTCATACCTGTGTTTCTCTAGCTTTTTCTTCTCCAAAAAAGAGAATTGAGCAGAATATGATAATTTTGCTGGCAAGTTTTATGCTTGATAATTCTTACTGAGTATAGAAAGATAGTGATGTAGAAATATCCTACAGAGGTACAAATGCAAAAATATTAAATAGTTGTTCCATACTTTTATCAAGGATAATAAATGCAAATGGATAATATAATTTGTTTTTAGTTTGTTCCTTGGTTTTGGTGTAATTCCAAGTGCTGCAGTTATTTTCTTTATTGAATCAAGTTTTACATGTTTCAGTGGGCCTTCAGTCTGCATGTAGCTTTGGGGGTAAAACCTGACATGTTGGTCTCAGTTGAGGAGAGGAACATCTCAGCTTCCCTTGCAAATGTGCCATTTTCATTTAGACTTAGGCAGTTTCAAACCTTGGCCTTCCACAACTGAAAGTCTTTTTGACAATGCTATGGGAACGTTGCTATCAGAGCAGTTTTTTTCGTCAGAAAACTTTTTCATTTTCTGTGCTTTTGATGCATCTTCTGGTAGTTCTGGCTCAGAATCACCTTACAATAGTGACAATTAGCTGACCTGTATGGCAGGCCCTGGATGTTGCATATGAGCCCATGGGTTTCTGGTCACCCTCAGGAAGTCTGGGGCACTGTAAGTATGGTTTGTACAGTGAGACAGACTGAGCACGTGGTTTAGAGATGTGGCTGACCATCTCCCCAGCGTGTCATGATGTGCCTGACATATTGCATGTTTTCGCAGCTGGAGCTCCCTTCTGCTCCAGGCCCTGGCATTTTGGGCCCAGACCTTAAGAGGATGTGAAAGATAAAATTATGCTTGTGAGATACTCTGCAGTTTGGTACTTCCACCTACAAATGGCAGGATATATTTATTATAAAAGCCCGTTGCTGTTTTTGTCATGAACTTTGCAACGCAGTGGTAGTGATCTGCCATCCAAACAGATCTGTATTTCTTGACCCAACACAAAGCAGGGACAACTACTCTCATGCTAGTCTGAAAATGGATTTCCTTTGAGGAACACTGCCATCCAACCCAACAGGCCTCATCCCCAAAGAAGACTTTGTACATGCTGTGAGGCAAAGGCATCATTAAGTAATTTGTGCAAATCCATCACATACCCTCCTGCAGGTATATATCTCAGCAAATTCTTTATTATAGTGGGACCTTAGTTGGCTATTCAGGTGTGGGGGTCATTCACTTTCTTCCTGGTGAGGACTGACAGGTCTGATTCTGTCCTTTCAGCTACATGCAAGCTGAACACCTTCTCTGGTATGTCTATGGGCCTTATTTTTTGAAGAGAGGTAAGAATAGTCATGTCTTCCCTTTCTAAAAGTTTTAGAACGCAAATATTTGTGCACTGGGATATGATATGTTTTCCCAGTAACCCTGTCTAACAGCTATGGGTTCTTATGCTTCTAAAGAAGAATGACTGTTTCATTACTTGTGTTTATTCATTGTTTTGTAACCTGCATAAAGTCACCATGGGGCCACAAACTATTCCACAATACTTTTTTCTGTATATTTTAGCTCCTGGAAAGGGCTAAGAAGACACACTGAAGTCATGTACAGTTGTAATTCCTTGAGATTTTTGTTTTTACCATGGTCTTAATTGACTCAGATTTTGTTGATGCAAAGAGGTAGAGAGGGGTCAAGGTCTTAAACACAGGTGTCAAGGGCACTTTGACATGCCCTAGGGTACCCTGCCTGGCCTCTGGCTGCTCCAGAAGACACAGAGTTCCTGTAGAGTTGGTGCCATATCTGGTGGGCCTACGCAAATGCTTGGTTAGCCTAGAGTGTCTCAGATGGCACTGGATGTTTATGTTGAGGTGCTTAGAGCTCTTTGTATATTTCTAGCTGTATTATTTGTTCCATGTACAGGTACTGGAAACTAGAGGTTGTCACTGAAAAGCAAGGGGTCTTGCCATGGTAATTTTTGACGACTTTGTTAAGAGTCTCCTGCCTGTGTCTTGGTTTTCTATCTGTAATATTAGGTTCAGAGTACTTTTCTTCAAGATTCTTTGCCTCCTTCAACTTCAATGCTTGTCCCTTTTCTCTCTTTCCTAGGGAGAGGACACTGGGATGAGGACAGTGTTGTTAGCTCGCCTGATCCTGGCTCTGCCAGTGAATCAGGCGACCGGTATCGTCCTGAGCAATATCAGAGCAGTCCTCATGAGCCCAGTAAAATTGAAACTCTAATAAGAGCCACCCAGCAAATGATTAAAGAGGAAGAAAACAGACTACAGCTGCGGAAAACGACCCCTGATCCACTGGTCTCCATTAATGGCACAGGGAAGAAGCACACTATTTGTTTTTCAAACTACCCTCAGCAGCAGTTGGCAGGGGATGTCTGCCGTGTCCCAACAGTTGCCAACACTCCTCCCTGTGAACACATCCAGCAACGAGATGGGAAGATTTTGAGCCCACATGAAAATGACTATGACAACAGCCCCACAACACTGTCTAGGATAAGCAGCCCTAATTCTGACAGAATATCGAAATCTAGCTTGGTACTAGCTAAAGACTACCTGCATTCAGACATATCCCCTCATCAAACCCCAGGGGACCACCCAGCAGCCTCTCCAAATTATTACAACTCCCACAGACAGTACTTTGATAAGCATGCTTACACATTAACTGGATATGCCCTGGAGCATCTATACGACACTGAAACCATTAGAAACTATTCACTAGGCTGTAACGGATCACACTTTGATGTGACTTCTCACTTAAGGATGCAGCAAGACCCAGCACAAGGACACAAGGGTACATCCGTTATAATAACCAATGGAAGCTGATACTTTTTTTCTAAAAACGTTTGTGTTTTAAAAAAATAACCTTTGAGATCTAATTGGAAGATATTATATGTTTTCATGCCCTTGTTGTTACCAGCATTTGATATACCACAGTGCACTAGAAAGAATAACCTAAGGTTTGGGCTGATAAGTTAGTTAACACACATTACTTTTAAAAAATAAAAATACACTGACATGCAGGGTCAGAGTGAATAAAGCTAAACTCAAAGCTGGTGCCATGCAAGGTGAGGAGGATGAAAGAGATCTAGTCGGGGAGTGCTTGGGGCGGGCTAGCAGAGCAATTTATGCACATTGTATAAGAGGTGGTTGTTTGGAAATGCTGCCAAGGTCAGTCTTTCTGAACTGCATGTGCCCCACGGGTCCCAGCCAAAAAAACTGCTATGCACTCTTTTTACGCAGAAAGTTGGAATGTGTTCCTTCAAAATACACATCAAAATGTGTACTTCTGGTGATCTGTTTATTCCCTAATGGCCAAGTGTGCTATGCTGCTCCATGCTATAAAGCATCCATGACTAACCAATACAAAATCAAAAAGGGGAGAAAGAAGAGAGAACTCCTCAGAACTGTTATTTCCTTGTGTACTCACATGCACAGCTATTTACATATGCTTGATTTGAAAGGAGTAAAATGAGCAGTATCTTTTTGATTAGTACAATCAAATATTTACTTCTACTGTATTTAAAAGAAAGAGGGCCTTTCTCAGTGTAGCTTTGAAAAATACATAGGGCTTGGTTGTGTTGGTGTACAGATGGGAGATTGTACTCATGTTTTTGAAAGGTCACAGAGTGAAATGGAAGAAAATTGTCAGGACAAACAGGGAGAACAGGTTGGAATGAGGAGTGGTCTAAGATAAAAGCATTTAACCCCAAGGCTATATATGCTGTTTAGTAATAATTATAAAATAAAGTGGTTCTAAGTGGCCAAATAATTAAGAGTTAATTTGAAACACAGAAGGAACTCAACAGAATCATAGAAATTTTACTGTAAAATACAAAAGCAATTGCATAAGTGTAAAAATATGAGAGGTGAGAATGGACAAAAACTGTACGGTTGTTTGTCCTACTTCTGATAAAGTTTTGGAGTAAATTAAGGAAGTATAGAAAATTGTAACTGCTCTGTCTGACATACTGTAAAATAATAGGTGTGACTTTGGAAAAGGCATACGCATTTTATTCCTGCTTGCAGCAGAAAATGTAATGAATATCAGAACATATTAGGGATATCAATATCAGTCATATGCACATAAAAAATGCAGAAGGAAATCAGGGTTCCAAGAAATTCAATTGCATTAAAAATGCTGATATTATCAGGTCCTGTCCTAGAGTTATAGAAGACATCAAAAGAGGCAGAGAAACTCTTTTGCAATTTTTAATAATCTCATGAACAGAGACACTAATTGATTGGAAAAGAGTAAATAAAAAACATATGTTAAAAAAAAGTAAGATAAGGCACTTGTAGAGACAATTGCTAGACCTGTCCTTCTTTGTATGGCATTTATATGAAGTCTCAAATTTGACTGCAATGGGAGCAGGACCACCACTCGCTGTTGCAGTTGTGTGGAGGTAAGGGGACTTGAGGTGGTTACTAAAATGAGATTAGCACTAAGTCTAGCTTCATTTGTAACATTAAGAAGCTCGACATATGGGACTGAGTCATCAGTGGGACTAAATATAAACCAGCATGCCACGGGTGGGTTAAAAATATCTATTTTCAAATAAAATTAATCAGAAGCAAAAGCTAAATAACAACATTATAAGCCACGCAAGTAGAGATGTACTTGAAAGCAGAGGAAATTACCTCTCTGAACTTGGAATATTGTGTATAGTCTTGATCACTCCAAGGCAGATTGTGAATCTTGAATTGAGTAGTACCTTACTCCATAAGCAATCTCTGTTGACTGCAGTGTGATCACTCGTGGTGAAATGTACGCTGAACACAAGGAAGAGCAACACAGTCTGGTCTTTATTATCTAAAGCTCATAATAGAAAAGGTGGAGCAGAGCTCAGCAAAAGATAAAGAGACTGAAAGATCTAATAAAAACTTTAAATAAACTGGGTCTGTCATCTTTGTAAGGGAAAAGAGTAAGGGGGAATGTCACTGGTGTGCACCAAGCTCTGCACAGAGGAGAGATAAATAATGGTCTAAAACTATTTGAACTAGCGGCAGAAATGAGAGACAGGGCATTGAATGTTAGCCAAGGCAAAATGAGAACAAAATGATTTGGCAAGGAGTTTATTTGACTAACTGCCAAATGAATAACAAAAGTCATAAAGAGAAGCAGCTAGAGATTTTTGTTTGTTTGTTTTAAGATAAAAACAAGGCAAATAATTGAGGGAAAGGAAAACATTGACAACTGCTCATTCAGAGGAAGGAATGGACCAAATGGACTTCTTTCAGCCCAACAATTGTATATACTCCTAAAGCATAGGGATGAGAAAGTATTTTTGATAAATCTAGTTCTGGATACATATTTATTTCACTTATTCCTATGAATAACATGAATAAACTTGTATTTGAAGTCTCATTGTACAGTATTAAAATACAAATTTCAAAGCGAATTAGAGTAGAGGTACATGGTATCATATTATCCCTACTACTGCATATAAAAAACAAGTCTAAGTGTCAATATTATTTTGTATTACAGAAGATTTTCCTAAACTGTTTGGATGAATGGGATTTTGTCAGCACCCAAAGTTCTTGGGGTCACTAAGCACTCTTATCAAGCTTTTAATTAGAAGGCAATAGAGTTCTGCAGACCAGCTGCAGTTCCCTGGCTGTGGTCTAATGGCCACAAGTAGTTGGGAAACCAGAGTTTAGTCACTGTTGTATTTGCATTCTGACAGGCACTTTTGAAAAATAGAAGACTTATAAAACAAACAGGTACAATATAAGATGCTTGTACTCTATGGTTTCACCTAGGAAAAAAGCCAGTGTGCTATGCAATAAAAATTCCCCATTCTTATTTACTGTGATCCCAAAATAGAACTTCCCAAACTGTAGTAGTTATTTATCCTGTTTTCAATAGTTCCAGTCCACTACAATGACAAATGCAGCAAAATGCACTGTAACGGATGGAATACCTAATATCTCAGTAGAGAAGTCTGCACGTGCAGCCACATTGTGCTGCAGCAAAGGCTGATGCTCACTCCACCCATGGGATTCCAGCAACTGGCACTCCTTAGAACTTCAGTACAGTCTGCCAGAGATGGATGCCTTTTGTCAGCTAATTTGCCATCCAGCTTCTTTAGATAGCCAGAAATTTCTTCTTAATTGACAGAAAGCATTGAATGTTGTAAACATAGACTCTGCATGCTACATGCTACATGAAAGCAAGTTTGCAATCTTAATTATAGCATATAATATCACTGCAGCTCATATAACATGTACTTTTCAATATGGTATAAAGCTTATTTATTCCATTACATATTTATTTAATTCAAATTTTCATTTAGTGTCCTTCAAGGATATCTTCTTCTTTTTTGTTTCATCCTTTTCTAAATCAAATAAGATGAGATGAGATATTTTGGAAAATTGAAAAATGCAAGGCATTTATACCAAATAGATTTCAAATGTATCACATTAGCTAAAGATTATAACTTTAAAGAAGGTATATGAGTTGTGTTTTGGAAGAGAAACAATATAAATCGCTGTGTTGCATCATTTCTCTAACATAATAGTGTTTTGTTATTGACACCAAATTAATATTTTGTAGCTACTCCAAACACAGAGTGACCACAGCTCTTTCAAACCATTTCTTGCTGATATCAGTGGATAGTGCATTATATTTTCGGTATATCTCTTTTGTTTAAAGAAGCAAAAAAGATCAGTCTTCTTTATACAAAATTGCACCCCAGGGGCATGGAAGTTTGTAATTTTGGACAAATTTGCAAAACAATTCTTAAATTAGAAAAAGAACCTTACTCAGCAATTGGTCCCATTAACTCAAATGGGAATATTTGTGGAGTGAGGTACTACTTAATATGTATAAGGGCAAAAAAAAAAAGACTACTTGTGAACTGGCAATAGGTTTGGGGTTTGTTGTATTTTTTTTTTTTTTTTTAAATCTCAGGATGTATGGAAACTATGGAAGGTAATAGCTGTAATTGCTGGGTTTCTACAACAGAGGTTATTTATACACACTTTGAAAAAATGAGTGCATCTCTCGGCACTGAAGAGCCACAGAAGTATTTCTTAAGCTTGAAATGGCTTTTACTAATGTGTCTGCAATACTGCCACAGGTTACACTGTGAAATTATACTCTTTTAAACTCTTTTAATCACTCTTATCTGAATCTCATTTTTATCTCTGGACACGCAGCATTTATTCATTAATGTCCCTAAGTATGTTTACCACCATATGTTCATTTATGTGAACATCCTGAGGGAGCTGGAAAAAAATAAAAGGTTGCATAGTATTTCTGGAAAAGGCGCAGCCACCCCAGACGATCAGACTGGCTGTTGCAAAGGTCAGTTCACCTTTTAGCCAAGGAACAAAGCTGTGGCATACGCACTGGTTTCAGACCTTCTGCATACAAACCTGTGTATAATGGGGATTATAGCGCACAGTTCCAGGATTAGACCTAGCTATGTCTGTTTTAAGGTGGCTGTAGTTAATGTCTGTCCGCAAATGGATTCAGGCTCTGGTCTTTCCGTGAGTTACAAGTTTACTTAAAACACCTAAGGATCTAAAGGCAATATAGGCTTTGTTATTAGGAACAATGGTGGATGAACATGCTTTCCTGTAGGTATACTGAATTAACTCCAGATACCTCCATAGTGTGGAGGAGAACCTATTTTACTTTATTTGTAGTTAGTATTGACAGTTAAATATTTCATCTGTATGCACTGAGAAGCAAAAAAAAAAAAAAAAAACAACCTACCCCAAAACCAACAATGGAAAAAAAAGACAAAACAAAAAAACTCCACAGTTATTTTCTGTAACCCTTCAATTTGGTATTGGTAAAGCCAGCTAGAGGTGTAGCT